TATTGAGTGGCCCAAGTCTTTGCTCTGTTCACTGGAGCATTAAATCTGAAGGCTCAGGAGAGCCATGCAGCGGCCTCACGGGTGCCGCTAGAAAGCCCTGCATTAAAAATGCATGGGGCAGGCCAGCTGCGCAGGCGCGGGCAGGAAGGAGGCCGGCGGGGGCGGGAGGTGCAGGCGACACCCCAGCGTCTTTCTGGCACTGGGAGACATTCCTCAACACACGGCACTTCAGGAAGAGACTCGAAGGGCAGAGGAGGCGGAGGGAAGCAAATGAGCTTGTCACCCGCTCGCAGCCACTCGCAGCCCTCTGCCCCGGGGTTGCTTCGGGACCTGCTTCCTAAAAGTTCACAGAGGACCAAGCAGTGTGGCGGCCTGTGCTGTGCTCCCAGCCAGAGGCTCTCCTGAACGCAGCCGCCCGGGGTGCAAACTGGGGGAGGCCTCCCGGGCACCATGCCTTGGACTTGGAAGCAGCCTTGCCCGCTGGGCACAGGGCACTGCGGTCACTCTGAGCCCAGACCCCCTGCGGGGAAGGTGTCTGCAGGAGACTCGCCCTGGCCAACAGCTTCCTTCGTTTGCAAGCAGCCTGCGGGCAGCATATGCCCTAAACCCGCACAGCTCCTGGCACACAGGCGGCCCGGGACTGACGCGTAACTGTGTTCTCCAACAGGTTTCTACACACGGGCACGGGCAGACATCCTGTGCAGAGTGTAGGGCCCACCCCCGCACCTGTAATGCCTCCGGCCCTGGTGGCCCGTGCACCTGGCATGGTGCCCGCCATCTGAGCATGGGCTGCTTAGGGAGATCAGGTGGCGGAGAGGAGGGGGCACATTCTCCCCGATGCCCTGGAGCTGGAGACAGGCACTCCTGCCCCTCCAGGAAAGGGTGAGGCCCCCCCTGCCCCCTACTTCTTCCTGCGCCGCCCTGGGGCTGGCCAGAACTGAGCTAGGAGACAGCCACCCAGCTGGCCTGGGTGCAAAGGGAAGGTGGGACCCGCAGGGTGGCCTCTGCACGGGGTGGAGGCAGGAAGCAGACACTCGTGTGCGTGTCTGGGGGAGCGTGCGGCCGGCAGTGGACACCCGGAGCCCAGCCACAGGCCGCTGCATCCAATTCTGCCCTGAGCCTTCTGCCTCAGTCAAGGCCAGCCCTGGAAGCCGGCAGCACGGCGGCCTGTCTGCGGGAAGCGACCCCGGCGGGAGGACGGCCGTCCTGACTGGAAACTGATGACTCATCAAAGAGACAGGAAACAGAAAACATGGCTTTGAGGGCGCGGTGGGGGGTGGGGACCAGGAGGTGCCAAGGCATTGAATCCGGGGCTCCTGGTAGTAAAGCGTCAGCTCCGCCCTTTGCACTATCTCCCCGGCCAGATTTTCCAGTTTAGAAGGCACAGCCCAGAGCCAGGCCATGCCGGCCGGGCACGGGGAAGGAGCAGAACCGTGGAAGGGCTGTGCTGTGCGGCTCTCGGGCCCTGGAGGCGGGGCCCCACCTGGCCTGGGTTCCAGATCTTTCCGATGGCCCCGTGAGGAGGCAAACACGGCCCCCTTGAGCCGCCTTCCAGAGGGGCCAGATGGCAAGAGCGGGCGCACGCAGGCAGCAGGGTCCATGTGTTCCTGGACCCTTTCCTGGGCTCTGCTGGAGGTCCCCAAGGCCGTTCTATGCTGCCTGGAGGGCCCGGCACAGAGCACCAGTGCAAAGGGGCCGCTGGCGTGAGTGGGGGCCTCAGACCACCCCCTTTCCAGCCCTGGGGTGCCCAGTCTGCAGGATGGGACTGGGGCTCCCTTCCACGATTCCAGCCACACACATCAAGCACACTTGGGGTGTTTCCCCAGAGCTGGGGGAGAAAAAAATCTGGGTGACAGACAAGAAACAGACTGAAATGAACCCAAGGTCGCCGTCACGCACAGGCCCCCTTGTCTGTCCCCAACATGCGCTGTCTCTCAATGGCCCGGAAAGGGACAGGTTCCCGTGGGTGACCCCGGCTGTGACCCCGGCTGTGGGGGATGCCACTGCTCGGGCTTTTGGGCCCTGGGTGGGCACCTGCCCCCCCGAGCACATCGCCCAACAGCCACCCCCGCTCTGCCAGTCTCTGGGGGGCAACGGGGTGCGCTTCTTTAGCTTAAGCAACGAGGAGCGGAGACGTCCTGCGTTTACTCGGCCCCGGAGCGGTTATCTGCCAGTGCCCGGCCAGGCTCTTATACAACAACCGTTTTGGCAAACCCTCCCCTGCCTCACCCGCCTTGTGCTCCGACAAATATTAAACCGTGCTTGCCATTTGTCTAAGGAATCCTGCATTAATAAACATGAAGAAGAACACTTCTACCTCCCACTCTCCATGACAGGACAAAACAAAGACCAGCTGTAGTCATCAATGGGGCCTTGTTCTGCGCATAAAGGCTAATTACGCTCCACTTCAAGCCTACACATGGAACGCTTTACCGCTGCGTCCCCGCTCAGGCAGCGGGGCCGTCCCAGCTGACGCAGGGGCCGGGACAGCACGCGATCGCCGGGCTTGGGCACCGCCTGGCCGCTCGCCCTCTCTTTTCCCAGGCAGAGGGGTTCCACCCCCACCTTGGGTCCCCGGCCTGCAGAGGCCCTGCGAGCGCCTCCAGCAGCCGCGGCCTGGACCCTGGCCTCCCCCCAGCCCTGCAGTGGGCCTGTTGCTGGGGAAGGTTTGTGCGGGGGACAGAATGGGCGCAGGGATGCCTGGGTCCTGACTGAGGGTCCCTTGGGTGGGGGCGCAGCAGACCCAGTGCCTCCTCCCCCGCCAGGTCTGTCTTCTCCCTGGGTCTCCCCGGAAGCCCTGAGTAAGGAGACGCCCACCCCTGCTCCTCCAGGGAGGGTCTCGGGCTGTGAAATGGTCTCTGATCCGCAGGTCCTAGGGAGGGGCAGGGGCTGGAGGCTGGGCGCGGCAGGTGGCGTCAGGCCTCTGGCAAATGAAGGGGCGAGGAATGCAGGGGGACAGATGCTTCACGTGGGCTCTGCGCGACTGAGGCAAAGTCGTGATTGCCATCTCGGGCCATTCCCGGGCAGTGGCCCGGGACCATCTCCGAGTGCTCAGGAAATGCCCGAGCTCCATCCAAGCGGAAGGCCAGCCCTTTCCTACCCTTCATGCCACCTGGCACTCGGGGGGGCCGGGTGGTCCTAGCAGACCACCCCCACACAGTCACTTGTCCCCTGCCCTAAGCCTCCTGTGATGAGCTTCTTCCCTCCAAGCCCCCCAGGGCTGCCCTCTCACCTCAGCGCCTCCGGTCCGCCCCCCCGCCCCCCATGGCGAAGCTCAGGCCTTTGGACTCTACGGCCTGCAGGCGGCCATCTGGGAGAGGCTGGCCTGGACCGTGTGGCCGCGGGACAGCGTCCCGTTCCCTCTGCCTGGCAGGGGCCCCTCCATCTCAGGTGTGCAGAGGCCAGTCCAGGGCGAGGGGTAGAGGTGGCACCGGGCACTTCCGCCACATTCAGCGTCAGGGCCACTACTGGGCGAGGGGACTTCCTGCTGTGACCACAGGTGGGGGCCCACGCGAGGGTGGCCCTGGCCCTGGCAGTCGCTGACAGGAGCCCCTGTGAGTCAGAACCCTGATGCCCAGCTGCAGGGGCTGGTGCTTCTGCCTGGAGGTGGACAGAAGTCGGCGGGGAAAGTGACTGTCACCTCTTCGTGTTTAGGGAAGCATTTTTCTGGGCTTAGAACTCACCAACTTGATGGAACTGCGAGCCAGAACCATCAAGCAGGAAGATCCAGAGACCCTGGGCAGGAGGAGCCTGAAGCTGCTGTGACCCTGGAGACAGGGCTGACCCCTATAACTGTCTCTCCTAAGGGACGGGGGTGTCCCCTGTGACTGTCTCTCCTGGGGGACGGGGCTCTCTCCCCCCAGTGCTCGATGCCTTGGGCAGGAGCAAGAGACATTCATGAGAATCCTGCTTGTCCCCTCGGACTCCCAGCCCGGCTATGCCCGGCCAGCCTGAGGGGGCAATGGAGAGTAGGGCTCCCCTGCGCCCAGTGTGGACCGGACTGCAGGGAAGGGCCGGGAATTTCCCTTCACTCGATCATCTTCTTCTCTAGGACCCCAGGTGCTGGGTACCTGAGGGAGATGGCACCCAGGGGTCTCCCTGACTGGCTTCCCCAAGCATCCCCCAAAACCATGAGGTGAAGCTTCTGTACAGCTTTTATTTTACTTATAATTTGGTTTTGGGGCTATACCTGGCTGTCCTCAGGGTTGACTCCTGGCTCTGTGCTCAGGGATTATTCCTGGTGGTTCTGGGGGACCCTATGGGGGTACCGGGGATGGAGCTCAGGTCAGCACATGCAGGGGCAAGTGCCCTCCCTGCAGGTCTTAGATGGCCACAGGGGGGAAGGAGCCCGGAGCTCTCCGAGTCCCCTCTGGGGGATGTCTCAGGTTCACAGGCAGCTCCCGTGCCCCGAGGGGAGCAGTTGGCCCCGCATCTCCAGGAGACCGTGGTGGGAGATGGGACGAGCAACATGTCACGGACCTCAGGCTACCATCCACGCATGCGCGCAAACACCAGAGACTACAGACTAGTACCAAGCCCACCGTGTGCCGGGCCCGATGCCCATGAGCAGGTGGACATGCATGACCCTGATCTCACCCCCAAGCAGCCCAGTACCCTGGAAGCCCAAGGGCAAGTATGATTGGACGGGTCAGACACAGCGGCCCACGTCGGCGCGTGTGGACGTCAGCATTCGAGGGGTGACAATGTCTGCGCAGAAGGGCGGGTCCTGGCATAGATTGGGGGGCCTTGGGACAGGGCCTTCGGGAGCTGGCGTCTATCCCAGATTGTCTCAGGAGGGCCCAGGTCTCCTCATGACCACGGAGAGACGTTCCAGAGGGCAGCTGAGGGCCGGAACTGCCGGTCACATGGGGCCGAGCACCGACTGCCATCAGTCCGGGATGGACAGCCAGACGCCCGGAGGAGAGGCAGGGGGAGCCCGGCCAGCTCACCCCGGGGGCACTGGACGGAGGGAGCAGAGGGGGAGCCAGGCCCCCACTTACTTGGCAGTGATTTCTTCATCGTATTTGGTTTTCAGGTCAAATAATTCGGTTCGAGTTTTTTCCAGGGCTGAAAGGCATAAACACAATGTTTAAATTAACTTTCAAAAAGGAGTCAAGAAATGTTTGGGCATTTCCGGAGAGATCAGGAACGCCCGCTCCGACTTCCTGTCGCCCCCCCCCCCCCCCCACTGCCCCAGAGACACCGTGTCACACTTTGCTGTGTGGCTGGCCTGCTCTCAATAGGGTTTTGGGTTTTTGTTTGTTTGGGGGCCACACGTGGCGGTGCTCAGGGCTGACTCCTGGCTCTGCACTCGGGAATCACTCTTGGGGGGGGAGGGGGGAGCTCGGGGCGCCCCGTGGGGTGCCGGGGACCCAACCCTGGTCGATGTGCACAAGGGAAGGTGCTCCCCGCTCTGCTCTCTCTCTCCAGCCCGTTCACTAGACTCACGACTTTAGGCACCATTTCCCTGGAACTGACCTTGTCCCTGAGCCAGAGGACATGAAGGTGCCGCCGAGTCAGGATGTGGGGCTTGGGAGGCGCAGGGTGGGGGGACGGGGGGGCACAGAATCACCTTTAGCAAAGCACCCCCCATTTCTGCTGGGCCCCCGTGGGGCCAGTTCCCCTCCCCGCTGTGGGGGTAATGACTGTCCCCGAGGCTGACACGACGTGTCACCCACGCCCTATATCCAGTGCTCAGACGACTGAGCCATCTCCCCGCTTCTGCTGCTTCTCCCCAGCGGCTCTGCCTGGCGGGCACTTCTTGTTTTGGGGTCCCATCTGGTGGTGCTCAGGGCTGACTCCTGGCTCTGCGCTTGTGGATCACTCCGGGGGACCCTACAGGGTACTAGGAACGGAACCCAGGTGGGCTGCTTGCTTGCAAGGTGAGCGCCCTCCTTGCTGCCCGGTGGCTCCAGCCCCCGCCTGGGCCGTGCGGGTCTCTTCCCTCCATTCTCGGCGCTGCCGGACGGTGCGTCTATTTTTATTGATTTGTGGGAGGGCCTTTCTATTCGGGGAGATTACTCATGTGTCTGTAAATCTGTTGTGATTATTTGCTCCCACTCTGTCATCTGCGTCCTCGCGTGGACCAGGGTGGCTTCCGGTGCTCGGTTCCACATTTAACCCCTGCACGAAGCCGTTTCCCGTTCAGAAATCAAGAAGTTCAAAGAAACCAAAACTTCAGAATAACCATTTTTGGTCTCTTCAATTTGAAAGGTCTGCTATTACCATTCCCCTTAATTTCTCCTAGGGTAGAAATCGGTTTTTTCTTTTTTTTTTTTAACCCCCCTATTATTGTTACAAACGAAATGTCACTGGCTGACAGTTGGGTGATTTAGACGGGTTTGTTGGAACAGGAGCAAGGAGAGAGGCTGGTGGTGGCAGGGATGAAAATGGAATTCATAGCCTCCCACCTCCACGTGGGTGACTGATGAAGCCAAGGTTGGGGGGTGGGGTGCGAGGAGGTACCCAGAGTGTGGGCTTCCTCCAGCTCCCCACCCCACCCCAGCGATCAGCCCTGAGTGAGACAACCCCCCCTCCCCCCCACCCAAAGGCGTCCGAGTCCCCACCTGTCTGCAGACTTTGAACTTTATGCTCGGCTTCCTCCAGCTTGGAGGTGGTAGACATCTGTGTCTCTTGCAGCTTTCTGCAAAGGGAAAGAGCAGAGTGAGGTCAGCCAGGGCCTCCGTCAGTGGCCGGACAGGGCCGGGGAAAGGCCCCGCCCCCTCGCCAGGGGTGCAGCTCTTGGGCACTCGGGGATGCCCGCTTGGGGAGCATTGGGCTCCGTCTGGCCCCACATGTCACACAATGTGAGTCGTGCACGGGGGAGCACCCGCGGGTGGGGACTGAGGTAGCGTGTTCCCGAGATGCCAGCGGTTTGGGGGGGCCGGGGGAGAAGCCATCCGCACGCGCTCATTGTTTCCTGGAGTTAGCCAAGAAGAATGATACATTTACATTTTGCTGACACAATGAAGGAATTTGTTGGAATAAAGGATGTACTAAATAGATATGACAGCTGTTCCATTTCTGTTATAATGGAATGCAAATTCCTCTGCAGCACCTAATGGGGCAAATTCTGAATGTTTGAAAGCACATTCCACATATTTATCTCCCATGATCTCCAGATGAAGTCCCTGGTCAAAGAATAACATGCCTCATGCCTTTCCCCCGATCTGCTGGGGGGTGTGGTGGGGGGGGGGGTGGACACACACACTCTAAAAATAAGCTGATTATTTTTACATCGAATGAATATAACACACGGTCTCATCATAATGAGGCTGGGAAAACAGAAAAGTCGAAATTATACTGTTAAAAAATTTCTGTCACCTATGGAAAAGGACTGCTTGCTTTACCACATATTCCAGTGCTAAAACTAATATCTGCTCCAAGTTAGGGGAAAAAACCCATCACCGTAAAGACTGCAGGGCGCACCCCTTCTCTTCTGGGGAGAGAACACACTCCTGGAGAGACCCTCTGCCACTTTCTAGCGTTTATTCCTACACGCCTGGATATACAATGCAGAGTCCCATTTGCTGTTGCACATCAGGAGTCTCCAGGAAATACACGACCCTAGAACATCCATCTCTGCCTGTTTTCCTGAAGCTGGAAGGGCCCACGGAACACACTCGGTTCCCTCTCCACAGCGCGGCATGGGGCAACAGGCGCGTCCTCATTCTGACTCAGTGATCCATTGACTTAACTTCGAACACTGAACTCACTTGGAGTTTTTTTTTTTTTTTTTTTTTGCTTTTTGGGTCACACCTGGCTATGCACAGGGGTTACTCCTGGCTCTGCACTCAGGAATTACTCCTGACGGTGCTTGGGGGACCCTATGGGATGCTAGGAATCGAACCCGGGTCGGCCGTGTGAAAGGCAAACGCTCTACCCACTGTGCTATTGCTCCAGCCCCTCACTTGGAGTTTCTTACTGAACAATTCTGCAGTGATGATGGCGCAGGGTCTGAACACTGAAGCGTCAACCTGCTGGACAGCCTTCGAGCAAAGTGTAGGGACGGGGCCACGCACAGCAGGGAGGGTGCTGACTCCACATGCCGCTGCCCTGGGCCATTCCTGTCAACGCATAGCGTCCCCTGAGGCATTGCCAGGAGTGATTGCTGGGTGCATAGCCAGAGGTCAGCCCTTAGCATGGCCAGCTGGGTGTGGACACTGACAAAACGAGGCAAACAAACCAAAAATTCTAGCATGGGAATTGTGACGGCGAGGGTAGGAGCTTTTTGGTTTGGCTTAGTCTGACAGATATCGAGCAACTTTCCTGCAAAAACCTTCACCACTAGAAAGTTCTGCCAACAAAATCAGAGAAAAGTTCCCTGCGTGTTATCGGCCTGCATCCATGAGATGGAATTTTATGTGGGTACAGGGGGGCGCTGCTGTCTGCTCCCAGCCTGGGTCCGTGTTTCATAAGGTTCATTTTTTCCCTCATAAATTTGTAAGGATTCCACGCACAGAAAGAAAATGAGCCCCTTTTCCTACATGGTATTTCTTCCCAATTGGTGATGCTTTAGAAAATCATTTAAGCTTCAGCTAGGCCTACCTATGCAACTTTGTTTAGAAACTTCTCTCTTACAAAGTTACTGAAAACAAGACAGCCACTAGTTTTCTGTATGGACATTATTTGACATTAGCACAGAAATGCCAGAGGCTAAGGGTGTGGCTCAGAGGTAGAGCACATACCTCGGATATGAGGCACAGGCTTGGATCCTAGATAACACCAAACCCCAACAACAACAACAGCAAAAACACCAAAACAAACAACCCGCCCCCCCAACAAACTAAAATATCCCAGAACCCAAAAAAACCCAGAACAACCAACAAACCCCATACCCATTGTAGTTTGTTGTTGTAAAAGAATGAGGGCATATCTGACAGGTTTTATCTATATATGTGTATATATATATGTACACATATATATGTATGTGCGTGTGTAGCATTGTAGCACTGTCCTTCCATTGTTCATCGATTTGCTCGAGCAAGCCCAGTAATGTCTCCATTGTGAGACTTTGTTGCTACTGTGTTAGACATATTGAATACATCATGGGGAGCTTGCCAGGCTTTGCCATGCGGGTGAGATAGTCTCGGAAGCTTGCCGGGCTCTACGAGTGTGGCGGAGGAATCAAATTTGGGTCGGCTGGGTTGGCCGCATGCAAGGCAAACGCCCTACCTGCTGTGCTATCGCTCCAGCCCATGTGTATGTGTGCGTGTATATACATATATGTATATATACACATACACACACACATATATATAGCACTGTCCTCCCACTGTTCATCGATTTGCTAGAGCGGGCACCAGTAACGTCTCACAACAAATTGTGAGACTTATTACTGTTTTTGGCATATCGATTACATTACAGGGAGCTTGCCAGGCTTTGCCATGTGGGGTGGAGGAATCGAACTCGGGTCAGCCACGTGCAAGGCAAACGCCCTACCGCTGTGCTATCGCTCCAGCCCGTGTGTGTAGGCTGTGTGTGTACACACACGCACACATAAAATGTGTAATTTTTGTTGTTTGAAAATAAGCGCAGGGCAGGAGTCCCGGGGTGGGCACTAGTGTTCCTGTCCACTCTATCAATCCGTAGGGCAGCACATGTGGTCGGCTACCTAGCTTCTTCTGCCCAGTATTTTCCACTTCTCTCATGCCGGCTACCTTGGTGGCATGTCTGGGTCCCCGAGGGAACCACGGGGAGCTGCGCAGTGCTGGGGCTCGGGGTGACGGTTGTCCAGCAGGCGCCGCCTCTTGTCGGCCTTGTGCCGGGCGTCAGCCCCAGGATCAGTGACCCGGTGAGAACCTTGTGGCCTGGAGGAGGGTTGGAACCCAGCTGGCTCCGAGTCCGCTCCACTTTCAGAGCTTCCATCACTCTCAGGGGGCCCACCCATGAGATGCCGTGGCTGGGGTCTGCACTGGGGACCGGGGGAAGCTAGTGGTTCCTCCAAGGTGCTCCATGTGACCATGTGAGGGGCCTGGATACAGGACGGGGTGCACCCCTTAATAGAGGATCACATGGGTGCTGAGTTCCTTTCTCCCTGGCCAACAGACCTCACTGTGGGCCCCCCAGGGAAGCCTGTCGCCCCCAAGAGTCATGCCCAGGTGTCTACACAGCCCCCGCCACTCCCCTGCAGCCACACACTACCCGTCTCTGTAACCCACACACTCCCCCAGGCCACGACAAACCCCGCCTGGAAGGTCTCGGACACCCAACGTGGGCCCCTGCAGTGCTAGATTGCTGGGTCTCCGGGGAGTGGGAGAAACACACAGGGTCACATCCGTCAGGTCAGGCCCGTGGGGTCGGCGCCCCGCAGGAGAGACGAGCAGAGTCCCGGTCCTGTCCTTGACTGACAGGGAAGGAGCCGATGGGAGGACCCGTGTGAGGCGGAAGACGGGGAAGGGGGAGTGTCCTGCTCCCATCCTCTGCCCTTGGTCCACCTCGCAGACCTGGGAACCCCTCCAGCCCCAGAGAGAATTCCGGCCCCGCCTCCTGGGAGGGGCTGCCCCGCCGGACCACAGGGACGCAGGCTGCCCGGAGCTCACCTCTCCTTTTCTGCAAAATCATTTTGTAACTTTTGTTCTTTTTCGAGTGCGATGGTCTCGGCTTGGTTCTTCAGAGTCTGCTCATATTCTCGGATTTTCTCTTTAAGTGCTTTTATCGTAACCTCTGCGGAGAGAAAAGGGGAAAAAAAAAAAACAAAAAAACGGCCGCGTCAGAGGAGCGAGGGTGCACGGAGCGCCAGACAAGGCCGCGCAGGCGGGCAGCAACGCCCGCGCCCGGCTCTGACACAAAATCAATGCTCACGAGTCCCTTTGGAGACCTTTTACTCCCTAAATGTTAAATTGAACTTTAAGCGCTCGGGTGGCGGGATCAATGGGCTGTGCTGGGAAGGGGGTCCGGCCTTCTCTGAGGCGGCTGGGGGTGGGGTGGGGGCACAGTGGCGAAACAAGGGCCCTAGCCCCGTACTGAGGGGGTTCAGAGGGTCCCGAGACCCTTCTTTCCAGGACACCGGCCCCTATCGTCTGGTGCGTGAGGATGGTGGCAGAGCTGGGTGCCGGGAGGCCCCTCGCCAGTCTGGCACCTGGCAGATGTGGGGGCAGTGCACCATGCTGGAGCCCTGCAGCGCTGGCCCAGGACCCCCCAGGCCCACCCCGGCCTCAGCTGATGCCGCTGCAGGCCTAGGGTTCCTGTCTGCCTCTGGCCCAGGACAGGGAGGCTGAGGCAGATGCAGCAGTGGGCCCGGCCCTGACACAGGCACAGGGGGATGCTCTGGGCCAATGCCTCCCCAACGCCCCTGCATGCCCAGGGGGCTTGGGGAAGGCTCCTGTAGGGTAAGGCCACGACCCAGACAGGGCTATGATGGGGCCCGGGATCTTGTAACCCCATCCGGTGGCCTGTTCCTTGTCCATCCATCTGCCTGTCCTGCCGAAGAGGACCCCCAGCAGGGGCCGAAGACAGAGCCCAGAGACTCCATGCTTAAGGCAGGTGCACCCGTTCGAGCGGCACCACACAGCTGGGCAGGTAAAGCCAAGATCCCCTGGCTGCAGGAAGAAGCCAGCCTTTCCCCTGTGTCCAGCAGCGGCTCTGACTGGGGGATACTGTGGCCTGGCCAGGGCAGGGGCGCAGGGTTACAGCTGGCCAGGATGGGAACGAGGTATCGGGGACAGAACTGAGGCCCTTGCACGTACAACAGAGTCGGGGGCACGAGGGAGACTCCTGTTAGCACCAGTACAGGGACGCGGTTCTGGGTGAGCGGCCGGGGTCGGGGGTGGTGGGGGGTCACGCAGGTCACTGCTGCCCTCGGCCCTGGCTGCCTTCGCCTGGGGACCAAGGAGCCTGTGCCAACACTGACGTCCCCGGGGCCACACGACCGTCTCCCCCAGGATCTTGTCTGCCTTGTCTGTGGGGGTGCCGGCGGGGCTCAGGGGACCATGCTGGGGCCCCAGAGGAGGGAAGGTGACATTTTCCTGGAGGTCCAGAAAACCCTGCAGTGCCCCGGAGAGAAGGGTGGGAAGAATTTTCTGGAAACAGCAGCAGCTCCCCAGGTGGGAGGAGGGGGAGGTCCAGGCCCGCGGGCTGCATGCCTTCGTGTCCGCAACAACTGTGGGTGCTGGGCACCCCCTGGCCCTACGGGGTACACCAACGGCTAAGGGACCCCAAGCCAAGCAGCTGCCAGCCAGAGGGCCCTGGATGAAGCTTCCCTGGGGAGGAGTGGCCCCCAGTGGGCACAGCCGCCAGCAACACCAAATCAAACAGCCCTGACAGGAAGCTGTTCGCGTCTGAGTGCTCCCAGGTCACTCTCACCTGCCTGCTGCCTGTGGGCCACCCACCCGCCCTTCCCAGACTCCGGCATGGGACCCTGAGGTCCTGCCGGGTCCCCGAGGCCCCCGGCTCTGCGGGAGGGTGGAAGGTGCAGGAAGGGGCCCGCAGGCCTCTGAGCACCCTGCCCAGGCCGGTCCTCTCCAGCCCTACCCCTCTCACCCCCTTCCTCAGCCACGGCTGTCTCCAGGGGCCCAGCGCCGTGCAGAAACTCCTTCCTCCCCTGGAGCAGCCAAACGGGGTAAGAAGCCAGCCTGACTCCTGGGGGCAGACTCGGGGGCGTGGTGGTTCTTCGTGGGGGCCCACAAGGAAACAGCGGCCCCTTAGCCCCAGACTCCAGGGCACGCCTGGGCCTTAATGTATCTGCGCAATTACTAAATGACTTACTGATGTGCCCTTTGATGGCAGGCTGGCGCCCGGCGGGTGGCGCCCACAGGCAGCGCATCTGTCTTGTAAGAGGCAGAGACAATCACATGACGAGGGCAGGAAGGAGAAGGGGTTTAAAAGGATCTCTGGCCGGCCTCCCTTGGAGGCCGTAAACCCTGCCTGACTCTGCGCTGTGCTAGACTTGGGCGTTATCATTACCTGCCCCCCCACCCCCCCCTAACGACTGGGGCGCCCCGCCCTGGCCGCAGGACGCCTGTGACAGCCAGAGCGAGTCCTGACAGGACAGGGCAGGACCGCTGGGCCCGCAGAGGCGATTCCAGGAGCCAGCCGGGAGGGCGCGGGGCGGGGGACCGCGCCTCCCACCCACCTTGGTTCTTCACTTCCGCGAACTCCTTGTTGTACTCCTCCAGGGTTTCCCGAAGCTTCTGGTTCTCCGTCTCGATGTCGTGCAGCCGCTGCACCTTGAGCTGGAGCTGCTGCCCGAGGTCCAGGGCCGGTACGGGGTCTGCGCGAGAGGAGACGGGGTCACCCGCGGGACAGGGACACAGGCACAGCATGATAGGTGCACCCCTGGGCCGACAGGAAGCGGGGAGCAGATGGCAAAAGCGGAGGAACCCCAGGAGGCCCCGTGACTGGCAGCTGGGGACGTGCGTGCGGGCAGGGGCCACGACAAGCGTCCCTCCCGCCCCTGCCCTGCACACCCCTCAGGCACGCGCAGCCTCTGTGTCTTCCACAGGATAGACCCAAGTGCAGGGGAGTGGAGGGTGGGGCAGGTTTCCCCAACTGTCTGGGGCAGAGACGGTGGCCTCCGTTCAGGGAAGGTCCCTGGCGCCCCTGGTGCAGGGCCGGAAGCTCCTGGCCAAGGAACTCTCCATCCCTGAGGAGAAGCTGAGTTGGGGTCATCAGCTATACCCCAACACTGCAGAGACCCCACTTTCTGCTTGGGCCCTTCTACCTTTCCCCAGAGGCCAGGGTGCTGAGCTGGTCCCCCCCAGGCCAGTCCAGGCCAGGCCACTACCCCGCTGACTGCCCGTCGCAAGCCGGTGGGGTGGCCTCTCTCTTCACCACGACTGAGCACTGAGTGTAGAGACCGTAACTTCCTTTGGACTCGGACACGGTATCCAGCAGAGCACCTGCAGGCATTCTGGTCCCAGTCTCAGGATCAAGAGAAGACACTAATTTTGGACCACACCTGGCAGTGCTCAGGGACCACTCCTGGCAGGCTAAGGGCACCATACAGAGGACTGAACCTAGGTTGGCTGTCTGCAAGGCAAATGCCCTCCCGGCTGTGCTCTCTCTCGCTCCAGTCCCGTCTGCAGACACTGGTGTCACTGATGAACGTCAAACACTGAGCCCAGGGGCCCCCCCAGGGTCCGTCCGACCACCGTGGCTCCAGGAAGCTTGGGCAGGGCACCCCCCTACCCCATGTAGCTGGCATGTCCCCCGTGAGGCTGACAAGTGGGCCCCGGGGAACATCCAGCCTGCAAGGGGCATCTGCCGGGTGTTTATATAGCTTATGGACACGCCACTTTCTCATCTGGGACTGTTCACTGTTGTTTTAATCTGCACTAAAATATTTACATTAAATTAGATTTCCAAAGCTATTTTGGGTAAACGGGTCCTGGTGAGTTACTAGTAGCAACCAAAGACCAAATGCCTCTGGCCAGTCTGGGGCACGTTTCCTGCTTTAGTTTCATGGTACTTCCTAGGCACCTCCGCTCTGTACCTTGGTCCCCCGACCCGTCCCCTGCCCCAGAACTGCCAACTGAACCTGATGCAGTGGGCGGGGGGGAGCACGAGATGAGCGCTGAACCCCTGGAGTTCACTCTACCGTCATGGGCGCTATGGGCACCCGGCTGGCACGAACCAGGCACGGCCTCCCTCCGTCCTCAAGCTCCCTCCCGGCTGCTCCTCCTGTCTCACTGTGGGCTTCCAAGAGAAGAGCTTCCCCGTGGGGCCCATCCAGGCCTGCCACTGGCCCCGGGAGAGGCTGATGGCCAGGACACAGAATCCGCCCCACGCGCCATGTCGTGCCGTGGCAGACTTCAGGCTACACGGCTGTTGACTGACTAAGCGCCTACAGCATTTGAATACTGTTTTGGATGATGTAAAAGGCATTGCTAAAGTACCTCTTAGGCTTAATTTTTATTACTTGTATTAAAGGAACGGCTAATTACCACATGACAATATAATGACTCTAGCATGTTCGGGCGAAAGCCCAAAACAATGAATTTCAGCATGCCAACCTCCAGCCTGCATGTTAATCTCGGGGGAATCATGGCTTTTTTGTCTCGTAATGGTTTCCAATGCCATCGGTGTGGCTCCTTCTCCACGTCACGGGCTTGCCATCCCGGCAGCTCCCAGAGGGGACCGTCTCAGGGAGGCAGGGGAGGGGGAGCACGGCCCCGGCAGGGTCCCAGCCCACTGGGTCCAGCATCCTCCCCATCAACATGCTTTGCTGCTGCTCGATCCACCCGACAGGACAAACTCGCGAAGTGCTTTACAACCATCTCCCACTTCATTCCCAGAGTGCCTCTGAGGCGGTGTGCGGCTCATGACGCAACGTGGGACTCCGAGAACACGATTAGAGACTCCCCGCCTGCGTTTTCTCAGTGCCTCCCAGGACCATACCCTTTCCGGCCTTCAGGAGGCCGGTGGAGGGGGGCTCTGTAGGGGTCCCCACTGAGGGAGACGTGGGCCAGACAGGCAGGCAGGGAACCTCCTCAGCGAGATCAGTGCTCCCTGGCCCGGCAGCCGGCTATGTCATACCATCTCCTCGGCACGGACATTGCCGAGTTCCCAAAGCTGGGTACCGCACTGGATGGGACACTGAGTTGGGCGGGCCAGGATCAGGCTCTGACAGAGAGAAGCTGCCTAGACAATGGAGACCCCCACAGGGGAGCAAACGAGGAGGAGAGCAGCCCCCGAGGGACAGGTCAATTGTCTTAAACAGGAGACAGGGGGCCGGAGAGAGAGCGTCGTGGGCAGGGTACCCGCGTTGCACACAACCAATTTGGGAGTCATCCCTGCACACTGCCGCTGTGGTCCGGACCTCCACATCCCCACGGAGGAGGCGGGCCCGGCCTGGGGATGAGGCTCAGTGGCCGAGCCTGGCACCACGTGGTGGCAGGAGCAGAGGGATGCGTCTGTACCAGGCACACTAAGGGCGCCGGGCTGTCAGGCACTGGGGGACACAAAGGTGAAGCGGACGCTTTGCTCTCTGAGACACGCCATGCTAAATAAAAATGAAGGAGGCAGGCGAAGCCAGCCCAGCCGCCAGACACGGCCGGCAACGGGAGAGGAGAAAGAGGGTGTGCTGGGAAGGGGCCTCTCCCGGGGTCCACGCTCAGGAACGGGAAGACACCGATGCCGGTAATGACAGACAAGTGGAAGCCGGCAGGGACCAGCGTGAGCCGGGGGCGGAGGCGTGCCGCGGGGTGACTGAGGTTTGGGGAGTGCAGGAAGTGCCAGCAGGGCCAGGCCCTGGAAGCGCGTCTGCAGCGAGCTGTGTCTGGACTTGATCCCACTCTGGAGAGGAACTCGCGCCTGACAGACGGGGACAGGAGATGATCACCTCAGGCGGGGCGGGAGCGACAGCAGCAGGAGGGCGGCCTCCCGCGCAGTGCAGCCCGCCCGGTTCTATCCCCGGCACCCCGCAGAGTCCGGGGAACCCCTGAGCATCGCCGGGTAGGACCCCAGGCCCCCCACCCTCAAAAGAAAGAAAACTTCTGGCTTCTGACCCCAGGAAAGCCCCCCCCCCCCCCCCCCCCCCCCCCAGCGATGTGAGGGCCAGGCCCCTGAGGATTCTGAGCTAGATGGGTGTCACTGTTTTCTCATCTCCGTTCACTCGGTTCTGGGGCGACTCCCGGTGGGTGCAGGTTGGGGTGCTGCCCCCGGTGGTGTTCGGCAGAGCAGGCGGTGTTGCAAAGGGAATCCATTCCCACCCACCCCCACCCCACGACATCCCCTCCTGGCCCCCGCGTCCCATTTTCTTTTAAGAAACGAAGGGTTCCAAGTTGGCCGGCCGGCTGTGCGAGCCTTCGGGTCGCCTCTGAAGCAGACGGCAGGTTTCAGGACTCAGGAGAAGCAGTGCTTCCTGTGAGCCCCCTGACACCCCCTGAGGGGGGAGCCACTCGGGCAGGGCAGAGGCCGTGTCTGTGCAACCGGGGGTCTCCACCCTGCCATCTGTGGGGCCACAGCAGATCCCACCATGCGCGGGTTGAGCTATTAGGGACCCTCTGCACTCGGCCCAGGGCTCAGAGCTGCCATGTGCCCCCGCTTCCGAGGAGGCCACCGGGAACTCCTGCTCGGAAACAGCCCCAACAGGAACCGAGTCAACCCCCAGGAGGCTGTTTACAAAATGTGGTGCCCCAAGTCACTCGCTTTAGAGATCAAATGACAGGGAACGCGAAAGCCCCGCTGGCCACAGTTCTACACGCTACTCAGCGGCACAGGGATTTCAAAGGAGGGCGCCGCCGGATCCGCACAGCCGGCCGGGCTGTGCGTCTGCGTTTCCTCGGGAGCCGCTTTCCGGCCATTTATGGCAGTCGTTAAACCCAAGGGCAAAACCAACACAATCGTGGAGACTCCTGCTCCAGGCCGAGCAGATTAACTGGTACTGGACTTGCCCCTGGCCATAAACAACCACAGCCAAGGGCAGCAGGGAGACCATGGGAGACAGCTCGGACAGGCCTTGCGCAACCACCAGCTGGCCCAGCAACTCTGGGCGAGGCCGGTGGGGCCCAGACTCTCTGCAGGAAGCACTTTCTGGGGGAGTACAGGCGGGAGGGCCTGGCCGGTGCTGAGCAGCACTGCTGGGTGGGGAGAACGGAGGGGAGACGGTCCCCGTCCCCGGCACTTGCAGGGCAAGGCGCCAGGCAGGAGGTAGGGGTGCAGAGTGGGGAGAGAGAAATCTGAGAGGTAACAGCGTCCGAACTCCTGAAAGCGGATGTGAAATAGGTGAATGTGAAAAACTGTTTAGGAATACATTCCTTGGGGGTCAGAGGCTAGGACAGTGGGGAGGGCATTTGCCTTGCATGCGGCAGACCTGGGTTTGATCCCTGGCATCCCAGGGTCCCCCAAGCACCACCAAGAGTGATTTCCCGAGTGCAAGGCCAGGAGAGAGTCCTGAGCATCGCCAAGTGTGGTTCCCCTGCCCTCAAAAATAAATACATTCTGATGGATTATCAGCAACTACGTGCTTGAACTGTGCATCTATTGTCTACAGCTGGGGTCAGGGAAAGGTCCCTCAGAAGAAACGCGGTCACGAGTGGGGGTAGGGCTTGTTAAGGAGTACGGAGCTACAGCCGCGTTTTCTAAGGTGGGTTACACCATCCCCTAGGGGCCGTGAGCCTGGGGTACGCAGAGAGGCGCTCTGTTGGTCCCCGGGGGGCACTAGGTGATGCTTTCTGAAAAGGGGGCACAGGTGAGTCAGTCAGGAGTCTCTGTGTCTGTAGCTCTGAGCAAGGTGTGGACCACAGGCAGACGTCATGAGGCAGGCGAAGG